ATGACTGTGTACTCGAACTGCGTTTTCCTGATAGTTGGCAGCTGCAGCAAGCTGGCGCTGAGGACAAGATTGTCAACATGACCAACGGCGTCACTCCTCGTCGATGGGTCCACTGTGCGAATCCCGCGCTCAGTGCAATCTTCACCAAGTACCTGGGCTCTCACGAGCGACTTGGATCAATATATCGTACTTCTAACGAGACGATCAATTTGCTCTTGGGTGGTTTCTTTTGATCAGACCACTGTTCTAAGGTGGTTGACTGACATGACCAAGCTGAAAGATATGCTCAAGTACAAAGAAGACCCCAAGCTGCATTCCGAGTGGCTGGAGATGCCTCTTGGCGGCAGCGGTGTTCAGTCAATATCTAATGCTGAGCGCCGTGCGTGGAATGTGCAGTGGAGCAGAAGTCAAGCAGTTGACTCTGGCATCTTTTTTGCATTTGCCAGGAAGAAGGAATGCAAGAAGAAGCTAGCAGAGTTTGTGAAGGCGGGCAAGTTTGAGTCAGCTTCTTTGATCTTATTTATGGCTCGCTTAGCAGACTCATCATTGCAAGGAAAAGTTGGACATGGACATGGACGAGGAGAAGCCGCGCGGGTTCATTGATGTGCAAGCGTGAACCAACATGATTGGACATGTTGTCGTTTTGGCTAAGCACGGAGGATGCCTTGATTGACATCCAGATCAAGCGCATCCATGAGTACAAGCGACAGCTGATGAACATCTTGTATGTCATCCATCGCTACCAGGCGATGCTTGCTCTCTTGCAGAATTGGTCACGGCGTGCCCGACCACAGGAACTCAAGAAGAAGTCCCCTTCTGAGCGAGCGAAGGCCATGGTTGATGGCACCGTCGCCCTTGCTTGCTTGCTTGCTCGCTCGCTTGCTTGCTTGCTTGCTTGCTTGCTTGCTTGCTTGCTTGATTGTTGACTTGCAGGCGCAGAAGCGAATTGTCCTCGTTGCCGGGAAGGCCAGATTGCAAATCAATTGTTTTCTTACAGTGACAGCTGTGGAGGCGTTGCATGTTTTGCCCGAAGGCAGCATCAGCCTACGTGAATGCCAAGATCATTATCAAGCTGATCAGCAACGTCGGAAAGGCTTTTTGCTTTGCTTTGCCATGCCTTCGTTGCAATGGCGGCTTCATGTACATGACTGCGCAGACCATCTTGGATTATGTCGGGGGGGAGGGGGGCCGGGGAGGTGATCAACAACGATCCTGACACGAAGGATCTGTTGAAGGTTGGCTTTGCACGCATCCTAGAGCCACATTTCTTATCTCTGACACTCACAAGCAGGTAAAGTCTCCAGACTTGCGCTTCGAGGTGCCCAACTACTGCGTCTCCGCAGCCCAAGTCATGATCCCCGCCTCCGACATCTCTGAGCACATCTCCACAGCAGGCAGAGTTGCGGGCGTGCCAGGGCAGGGTTACACAAAGATTCTTGGAGCCGCTCTCTTGGAGCTGACGTGGAGCACTCACCTAGAGCCATTCAGAGCTGCTCACTTGCTCAGTCACTGCTCAGCTTGGCAAGGCACAGAGGCCAGTGGAACCTCGAACATGAAGTTTGTGATGAACGGTGGCCTCATTGCTGGCATCTAAGAATCTAAGCCCCAAGTCGTGAAATGCCTCCAAGTGTCACATGTCGTGAAATCAGGGGCACGCTGTTGCACTCTGTTGCACTGGTTGTTTTGGCTCTGAGGTTGGCACGATGGACGGCGCCAACATTGAGATCAGGGAAGAGTGCGGCCTGAGCCTCGGGCGGGCCTTGGCTGCATGTCAGGTCTTTCGCTTCTCGTGACTTTTTGAGGAGAGGACACCATGTTCATCTTCGGCTGCCTGGAGCATGAGGTGCGACATGCACCGGCACGAGGATTTCTGCTTGACTCGTGGCAGGTTGCCGGGATTGCTGCCAAAGCCAAGTCTGGACACTACCCCATCGACAGCAGGCTGCAGGCTGTGTTCCAGGCTGGCCTGGAATCCTCCAGTCTTCTTTTCGTGAAGAATCAGCTTTTACCCTTGACACTTTTTCCACTGCACAGCTTGGTATATACAAGGTTTGCTTCGATTGTGTTTCTGGAGAACCCTAACCCTTCAGCGACTGTGAAGCCTCAGGGATATGATTTTGTGCGGCTCAGGCAGTTCGCAATGGCGAGTTTTCTCAAGGTGAGCCAGAGGCAGGATACGGATGATCAGTTGGTAGGCACGCTTGTTCACAGCTAGGAGCTCATCACCAACATTATTTCATTAGTCAAGTGCAGGAACCATGTGCACACCGCACGCCACTTACCCAAAAGGTGCACATGCACGCGCAACCAGTCAACATGGCCACGTACCAGCTGGCATCAAAACGCGAGCCCATGACCCTGCTTTGATCTGAATTTCGAAGCTCAAAGTAGGCTTTTACTAAGACAAATGTGGTCAGTTATTGAGGCAACTGGAAGACTCTTGTGTTGAGTTCGTGCCAGGTTTGCCCTGAATGACATGTTGTTTCGTGACTTCTAGAAGATCGATGGCACTGGTAGGACAAGCCTGTTTTCCACTACAATCCCACACAACATTGCACTGACACCAGCGAATTTTGCTGAAGACACGGCTTTGTATAATAATTTGAAAGCCAACAGCATTAGGGCTTTCGTCACTAAGAAGAACCATGCTAGCCACCAGGCCCGCATACTGACTGCACCAAGAAGTGTCAGACAATGTGAAGCAGAAAACAATGTTGTAGGGATGGAGTCACTGGCCGCATCATTATGAGCTGACTGCACAGCTTGCAGATCAAAGCAACTTGCCCACCCTGGGAGTGCAGTGGGTAATGTGAATTGGTGCAAACACAGCATGACAAAAGGCACTACAGGAATGGACTGTCACATATCAAACTTTGGATCGTTTGTGAGTCGTGAGCCCAAACTAGCTGCTTTTGGGAACTTGAAAGTCCGAGCAACAAAGCAAAGAACCTCTTTACAGTCTTTTCCCATCCAGATAATTTTGACAGGCGCAGGCCGAGTTCGTCTCTTTGATAGACCGCCTCTGCAACACTGAAGCTGCTGGCACGTGGGATGGTGCGGCGCATAGCTGAAATATCCGTTGCGAGGAGAGTGTCCCGAAACCTTGAGGTAAGCACTTCTGTTAGCAAGTTTTGTTTTGTTTTTTTTCTTGGCTTTTGTTCAGTCCTGGATGTGCAAGGCGACAAGTACTTGGTCATCCATGACTTCCCGTCCTTCATTGATGCACAGACGAAGGTTGATGCCACCTATGCGGACAAGGCCAAGTGGTGCAAGCTCAGCATCCAGGCGCAGGGCCAAGCATTCAGCAGCGAGAGCAGTCCGTTTTGATTTGCTGCAGTGCCTGAATTGGCTCTGGCGTTCACATACGCACACAGACAAGCACAGACACAGACACCGTCAGACACAACGACACACAAACACCACCTGCTTAGCCGCCCAGGTTAGAGCACCAAAGACAGTTTGCACATCAGTTTTAGCAACACTTGAGTCGTATCCCTTCCCCACCTATCCACTGTTGATGATTCATAGGCTTGGAGGTGGATAGTGAAGGGACATGATGAAGAGAGAGGGGAATGGAGAAGAGATGCCATTCCTTCCTCCATTTCCGTTTGACACGCTGGCCAGTTTTTCCAGCGGTTGCACATGATTTCCGCTTTCTTCATTTTCCAACCCCAAGTATTCCCTGGCATTACTTGGAGATGGAAGGGTTGGCAGAAGTATTTCATGCCGGCATGATTCTCAGATTATACAGCCGGGATGAAGGGAATGGATTGTGATGGCACCTTCACGTCGGTTCATCTTGGATGGACAGGATAATGACCTTTCACTCTCACACCCTGTCCCAGCCAATTGAGTTTATTGGAAGATGGAAAGGGTGGGAAAAGGGATGAATGAAGAAGTCAATCCATTGGTAACAGCCTGGTGTCAAGTGACTTCTTCTTTACAATCATCACTTTTCTATTCGTTCTTGTTTTTCATTGGATGGACTAGTAGCGCTAACAGCTTTGTTCTTAGCCAAACCCGGTTTGGACAACGTGCAATGTGTCCGAGTGACAAGCTTCGAGGCTGCATCCTCCATGGCCAAGTTCTCTACTGACCGCACCATCCAGGACCAAGTAGCGAGCAGGACCAACAGCCAACACAATCTGCCCGTAGGAGTATGCGGATGTGATCTGGGGCGTGAAGCCAGCCCCACGTCCTCTTTCATAAGCAGCCTGGTGGAATGTGCACTCTACTCATACGCTGTGTACTCTGTGTAGTCCCTTGGAATTTTGCGAGATGCACTTTTTGCATTCCGAGGCTGACAAGGTGGAGATAGGCTCCGCCTACGTGAGCGGAAGCATTTCAATAGCACAAGCAGGCACATGAGATTTCCAAGGCTTTTGGACATTCACCAAGTTTGAACAAATGCTCAGGGGTGCCAGATGGCATGGTGAATGGTGGTCTAACCTTGGCTTAAGTGCCTTTGCTTGCCGGGCTCACAAGTGCTGGCCCCAAGATTTTGAGCTGCTATGCATGGAAGACTGCCGAGAGATGTCAAACCATGTGCCTGATTTTACACTTTCATGTTGCGGATGAGACATACACTTGACATGAACTTAGTGAGGCATTGTTTTGCTTTTTAGGCGGTCTGGATGCAAGGAACCTGGGTCCAATGTTTTCCGTTCCCGAGTGACCCGTTGATTCTAACGCAGGCGGATGGTCTCGCCCATATTCTTTTGGGGCCGTTGGCGTGCAATGTCGCACTGGCTTGCGGACCTCCGGCTATCGATTTCATCTCTGTTTGTGTGGGCCGCGGCATTCGCCCGATCGGAATTGGGGCAGACGCGCGGTCTGCAAAACAGTGCTCAAGAGTTTGTGGTTGGCTGATCGGAGATTGGTCTGCCCGTTACGGTCTGAACGCGAGCCAAAATTATGCTTGCCCTGATAGCTTTGATCATGTTGGCATGCAAAATGATGCACTCCGGCACTCTCGGCATGGTTCTTACATCACTTTGCAGGCTTTTAGACAGAGGTTTGGCTCTTGGTGTGAACCAGTACCGTTCATGTCCTTTTCACTACCCTTATATTTTCCAGCAACCAAAGGTGCTCACCGAGACCACAGCTACTGGCTTCGCGCCAGAACCCGAGCAGAAGGACAGAATCAACGTATGCAACGCCTTTCTTTTCTTTCTCGGATTTGCTCATGCTCCTTGCAATGTAAGCTCACGCGCTGTGAGCCAGTCTGACTCAGGCGTGGCACTATGCTGCTTGGGTCTTGGCATGGGACTGAGCGACAGCGAGCTGCGAGTTCTTGAGGCTCAGGAGACCAGGCGGGCACATGCGGAGCTGGTGGTGCAGCGACAGAGTTCTCAGCAGGCCCATTGCGAGCTTTCGTGTCACATGTTTGAAGCAGATTGGTCCAGGGAGTTCAGAAGGAAAGCAGTGCATTCAGAAGATCCTAAGATAATGAGTGAAGCAGCTGCTTTCAGCAGTTTCTTCAGTGTTGCAATCGCATCCTGAACAACACGTGACCTGTGGTTTGTATCAGCAATGTACACTTCAATCCTTAACTGCAGAAGCGACAATGATTCCTTGCCATCATATTGTACATCCATCCCCAGATGTTCGGATTGGACTGCAGTCGATCGACCGATTGCTCGTGGCTGATCAGCTGCGAGTGTTGGCGTTTTTTCCGGCTGCTATAAGACTGCAATTGTGGCGATTGTAATTTCCAAGCTTTGAGTTTCCACAGGTGCCGCGAAGCTCTGAATTGTGAAGTTCACAGTGCCGCGACATGCAATAGTTGACATTCCCAAAGCCAGCCAAGCAATGCCTCCTAACCGAAGCACGATTTGACAACATCACTTCAACAAGCAGGCGTGTATGGCAACCTTCCGCTGCCTTGGCTGAGCCTACAGCAGAGTATTGTTTGCAAATACGCAACAATGGCGTCACTGTTCTTGGGCTACTGGGCTTTTTGGTCACCGAGCTACTGGGCTACTGGCTGCTAGCCAGGCAGTACTGTGCCATGTCTCCAGCCGATCAGCACTGCTTGTCTTCGCCTCAGCTGACCGACTCTGAGGGGTGCTGATGGAATGCCCCCAGACCCCAGACGGGACATCTGAGAGCACCTCAGGCGCAACGAGCTCTGCTGGCATGGCGAGCCACGCGCTGGGCATCCACCAGGTGCGCGAAGAGAAGTCAAAGTTACACTGGGCAACTGCGGCCATTTTTTCCCGGGCATCCGTGAGATTGGACGCTTTCATTGCACCAGACTTTGGAGTGCTCATACTCCCAGAGCAGTCCCTTGATTTGCTCGCACCGGGTTCCCCTATCAACCCTTGCGAGTCGCTTTGAGCACCGTTCCTCAACCTCATCCTGAAGGCTCCCATGTGGACTACTGGGGCCTCAGAAAAGCTTTGGGCTTCTGCAGATCTCCGATGCAGGGAGCTGGTTCCAGCGACCGCAAAACAAGAAGCAATCGCCAAAAGCTACCCTTCCTCCAGAAACAAGAAAACACAAACAGAAGAGATAGTGCCAGGGTCACGAGTGTCTAATTACGCTCAAAGTTGAGTGCAGATTGGCGCTTATGTACGCCCAGCTTCAAATATGCGAGCAACTTTGTGCCAGTTGCATGTACTTTGTGGGTTAGCAAAATGGCTAGTGAGCAAAGAGCATTTGTTTGCTTGTTAGCAAGTTAGTTACTAGTAGCTAGTGGTGGTTATTTGGTAAGCTAAGCTGGATACATAGTTGAGTAGCTAGCTATGCAGCACAGTTTTCGCCCAGTTTGCTGGCTAGTCCTCTAGGTGGCAACTTGTGCTGAGGGGTTGGCTAGATAGTCGTTGTCTAGCTTGCCGGACAGCTAGTTCGTCACCCATAGCTACTCAGCCACTAGCTAGTTAGTCACTTGGTTAGCTAGCTACCTACTTATCTAGGCTCACGAGCTAGAGGACAGCGGACTAGAACTGCCCCCTCCAAGTATGTGAGTAACCTCGTTGACAACATCTTTACCTGCTTGAGCGTGAGGGACATTAGCAGCAAATCTGGTGGGACGCTCAGACTCATCAGACAGAAGCTCTGCCACATGGTATGCGTTCTGGTCACATTGAGAAAGGCATTTTTGCACTTAATCAGGCAATGCACGCTCTGTATCGCTGCATACATGGTGGCATGTTGAGCTAGTGCAGATGTGCGGGTAGTCTAGCGTTAGCAACTTGCTGACCCGTGATAGAGGCGTCAAGGGCAAGACACAGGAGGATTTCCTTTCAATCATGGCCGGGTGCTCAGTTCCAGCTTCGCTGATGAAGGATGCGACATGCTTAAATGAGAGTAATGGTTAAGGTTTTCACAGCGTGGCAGTGGGCGGTGCATCTTCAGCAGGAGAAGGACAGTGGCTGAACAACTTAAAAGATCTGACCAGCAAAGTGAGCAGTGCACTCCGGTCTTCACCGTGCTGACATCTTGTTGCTTTCTTGACTCCTTTGTGCGTCGCTTACTGGGTAGATAGTGTTTCCGCCAATCAGCGGTAACTCGCAGCTTTGCCCAACCGCTTCCTGTTGGAGCAGGAAACCTTGGCTGCTGCTGGCTTGCAAGCCAGGAGGACACGTTCGTGCTTCCGAAACTTTGTATGTATGTATGTACATATATATATATACATATTGATCTGTCAAGTTGGGCATATTTGTCTGAATGTCACACCTAAGGAGGCAAGCTGCTGAAGCTGCCCAGCAATTCGAGAGGCAAGACATGCATCACACAGTGTGTGTCTGTGTGTGTGTGTGTGTGTGTGCAAGAGACAACTTGCAAGCTGAAAACTTGCATTCCTCATTTGGTGCTCCGCCAAGAAGGACACTGTTAGAAGCGCTGGGGTCTTGCGCTTGATTGTGCTTGCATGTAGTCTGAACCTCTGCTGGATATAATTTTGCGAGGCAGAACCTGCTGGTGAATAGACTTTGCTTCTTGGTGGTGATACTCAGAATTGCACTTGGGTCAATTTGCAGTGTGCGTTCTGATTAGCAAGTTCATGTGCCAATGGTGAGCCATCAGCCGCAACCACGTTGCATCATCCAAGCTGATGCTCCGCAGAGTCTTGGCCCTCAGCAGAACATGTTTTACAATGCAGCCTGAAAAATCCCTATTCGAAGCTGCATACTTGGGCAATTCAGAAATCGATGAGTTCTTTGTGATGTAGGAGTTCTTCTTTGCTCGCATGATACTTAGATGCCATCATTCTGAGCCAACACTACGTTGAGCAATTGCAGGCTAACACCCATGGATGCCTGAAGCCCATGGGCGAGCCGCAGCAGCCTGTGCAGGCACAGCAACAGCAGCCTGCGGCGGAAGAAGAGGATGCCAGCCAAACACTCGTGGCACGCTTCCTCAAGGTTGGAAAACGCTGCTTGGGAGTCTTTGCCAAAGGCTCACCGCCAGAGCCAAACCCAGAGGTGGGCCGGAACGGCTTGCAAGACCATTTCCCTGTTCATTCTTGGGCCGTTAGATTGAATGCTGCCCTATCAGGTTGTTTAGCAGGATTTCATGCTTGACAAGGCAGAATCTTGGGCTTCTTTCCCTTCAGGTGGAAACCTATTTGCAGTCCATCGGCATTCAACAGCGGCACCTGCTTCTTGTCGATTATTTAGCCCAAATCTGTGGCTGCCCGGTCTCACCTTCATGCCTGCTGAGGGCATGAGCGTGGTTGAAAAAAATAGGCTGTTGTAGTTCCAGAAAGCGATAAGTTTCTGGATGTGTGGCCTTTCTGTAGCGGATAAACACACTTCCAGTGTGTTCTGAAGGAAGCTACTTATTTTGTCAAGTACTTGCAGTGACGACAAACTACGGTTGAAGCAAACTGACTGGGTTGCTGCGTAGCCAAATAGGATCCTGCCGCCAATTCCGTGCTACTTTTGCTAGCTACTGAGGCTGCAGATCTACAATGTCTTTCACTATCTCAAAACGATGGAGGAAGACGACTCCTTCTTCACCACTGTTTATTCGGTCTCCTCAGACGTCTTGCCGATCCTGATAGAAGATCGCCGAAAGTGGGTAATGAAGCTGCTGAAATGCATACTGAAGCTGGGAGACTGTGAAGAAGAAGCAACATGGGACAAATTTCTTTGGGTCATGTTGCGATTCTGTTCTTTGAACAAGGTTGAGCTTGCGCAGACACTTTTCCTATGTATACTTCGAATACGTGACAGCACAACTTACCATTACATTCGCTACTACGAACTGGGTGAATTCTTTGCTATTTACAGAAACTGTCCCATAAGATCATTCGATACTGCTGATATTAACTTCGACTTGTTGCCCATTCGGCGCTACTACGCCTCTGACTTTGCCGAGCTGCTGATGAGGTATCCCGTTTTGTTGCATCCAATCTTGCACTTACAGCAGTCCTTGCAGTCAAGGCTTCCTGGCTTGAACTTCTGGGACAACAGCACGGAGTCTGTATCCTTCTGCAGGAAGATCACCTTCGATTTCTTCCTTATGGAAACTGGTCGAATCTTCCTGAGAGGTGAGCCACCTTTCCGAGAAACTTGCGATATGTTGTGTCCTGACGCGCTCGGTGCACTGCCAGTGAATCAGGACCAATGGATTCTGCGAACTTGCTTTGCGAAGGGCGGGCAGGGAATCGCTCAGATCTTTGTGTGGGGTGAGCAGCCGTTGCCCGAAGTCATGGAGTTGAAGCAGATGGCCAAGGAAGAGGAGGAGGAAAGAGAACGGCTCCGCCTGGAGAAGGAGAAGCAAGAAGAGGAGGAAGCTCTTGAGGTTCCGGCTCCCAAGGAGCAGAAGAAAGAGCACAAAGAAGTTGATTTGGAAGACATGACGGAGGAAGAAGCCAAGAGGCACCGTCAAATGCAGGCAATGGAGAAGGCACGCCGGGAAAACGAGGCAAAGAAGGATCGCAGCATGCTAGGTAGGCCGACCTTTGATTTGACTGCCCTGACCCGTGCTGCTGCTACAACGGATGACGAGTATGCCGCTCCCGTGGACATCCTGCCACCTGCGTGGATGAAGCACTGCACCATTGCGCCAGCGCAACAACAGCGAGGTTCGGATCCCCCATTGCCCATCAAGTTGAAGCAGCCCACTAAGCTGGTCTATGAGAGCACAGAGGAGTCTGACCGCCAGCGACTGGCTCGGGCCAGGAAGCAGGCAAGGGGTGAACTTGATCAAAAGGAGCCCGATGGCCCTCAGTTGGAAGAAGACGACGTGGAGGAGGAGGTGGATTGAGTCTTCGCATGTCACCTGCCCTTGTACAGTAGTTGTCGGGCTTTGTCTCACTAGCATGATCTCGAGGAATTTGCGCGAAAGATTCGCGTGCATCGCCAGTGTCCTCAATTGCTTGCTGTTGGCCTAGCTTCCCTCCAACAGTTCAGGCCTGGGTGTCGGAACTAACCTCACGGAGACTGGCTCAGAGCAGCTCTGAGCGGGACGAGGCGGGGAGCGTGACCATTCTGTTGAGAGAGGCCCTGTGCTAGTTGGGGTGATGGCGCTCGATTGCATGCATCCCTGTTCAGATGCTGGAGCTGGTGGAGAGCAGTAATACGCTGGGACTTGAGCACAGGATTGGCACAAAGACGAAGTGAACTGACTGTAAGGTGGATCCTCCAGTTGCAGCGAGAGCGACGAGACTACGAGGATTGTTTGTTGTCTCAGTTTTGCATCTTCCCTATGTTTCCATGCGACGCTGCATTGCTGTGCGAGCTTTGGGCTTGGCAACCGGGATGGCAAGCGCAAGGCGTGAAGTGAAGCCAAGCCTAGGAGCAGCTTCTGCCAGCCTTGCAGCAGGTCCACGACTTGCAGGAGGCCTTGGCCTTTGAGGCGCCTGTAGCTGCACTGAGCTGCACAGCAGGCGTTCGGAACGCTGGACAGGTGGGCGCCAAGGAGGACCTCATTTTTCAGATTCAGCACCTTCAGGACGAAGTTGAAGCATTTTTGCCCATGCTGATGTTATGAGAACCGGAGCAGACAGTGGGCCAGGAGCAGCTCAAGGTCGTGGAAGCAAACCTCGGAGAGCGCCGGGATCGCGAAGGTCGTGGCGGATTGGAGCGATTTGTGAGGGAGCCGCGAACCTTCTGACCCGCTTGCCGCTTGCCGCTTGCCGCTTGCCGCTTGCCGCTTGCCCTTTTGCAGCACTCAGCGCCCTTGGAAGCTCCACGGACTCTGCGCACTCCCACAGCGCACGTGGATTCCCCAAACGCGCAAAAGCGCCAGCACATTCTGGAGATCTCGAGGCCTCCGAAGATGCTCAAGAAAACGACCCAAGATGGGCCAGGCAGAAAGTCATTGCTTAGTCTGGCATCGGTGATCGACTCGGGCGTGCGAAGAAACATGCTCCTCGTGTTTACCTGTACCAAAGCGATTTGCAAATGCCATGCGCGTCACAGCTGAGTGCCTGCAGTGATTTGTGTGTTTGTGAGTACGAGCTGCTGCGGCTCGAATGTCTCCGTTTTTCTGGACATCCATCCATCCATTCACGGTGAAATCCGTGTCCTAGAGATAGAGCGGCAAACAACGCCGGATGTTACTCGCTTGCAAGACAGTGCCCAAGGGCTTGCAGCATGTGTTCTGCTGCTTGCCAGCTTAGCCGCAAGGCAGCACAGTGATCTGAGGCGTGCCTGCATGGTACGGGGCCTTGGATTGCTTTGCTAAGGAATGTAGCTTTGGCAAAACACCAGTGTGAACAAAAGCTAGATGCTCTGCCGCTTTTTGGCCCTGTGCTTCTGGAGCTTTTGCGTACCTTGTGCTGGCATGTGATGGCCATTTTTTTGGTTGTTAGATTGTTTGTTCACTCCTTCGCTTGGCTGGTTTGCCAAGCGTTATGCACATGCAATGTTTGAGCAGCATTGCATTAGCGTGAAGAGCGCACATCAGAGACCAATCAGCCAACTGATTCAGGGAGTTGGGTCAGGGACCAAAGGGTAGAATCTGACGGTTCTCGGTTCGTCATTGGGGTGGTTTAGGATGGGTCTAGGGTTTGGAGTCTGGAGATTGAGGGTCGATATTAAGTGGGCTCCGCATTCGTGTAGGTGTAGGGGTCTGGTGGATTTAAGGTTGGTCTAGGGTTGGTCATGCAGAGTTGTCTTGGATTTACGGCAGGTTCTAGGATTGGTTCTGTCTAAGGGTCAAAGTACATACCCCTTGTTCATACCCCTTGGCTTCCGTAGTTTCCAACCCACTTTATAAGGGGTATATAACCCTTTTGGGGAGGGTATGAACATCAGCAGGCCTCTTGGGTTAATTTGTCCAAGGGGTATGTAAAAGGGGTATGTACGAGCACCCCTTGATTCTGGACAGATTACGACGGATGGGTCTAGCTTAAAATAAGAGAGCAAGTGGTTCCGGACTCTCCGGAGTTTTGGAATATCGCAGGCTTCGGGTCTGCATTTTGACTGTTTCGGATTTCCGATTGAATGCCTGAGTCTCCGATTCGCAATCTGCAGTTCGCACCTTACTGTTTCCAAGTCTCCTTCGGATTTGCACATTTGTTGTTCTCGAATCGGGTCTACGATTCAATCATTCCGCGTTCCCCAACGGAAGCGTCTTTTGTACCAGACATTACACTTAGGGATCCAACCAGGAATCCAAGCCTAGCGTCTTGTAGTGGGCTGGGATGGATGCCTAGGTCGCATATTTGCAGATGCCACCAAGATTTGGCAACTCAATAATCTCGCACCCCTTCCGTCAGCTCTGTTTTCAGCTTCGGTTCAGGATGGGTGGGATGCCTGGCTCGCGTGGCGTCGGAATCGAGCATCTACTTTTGCCTCTGTCCTCTCTTTGACTTGACCAAGATCCATCCACATTCGCAAGAGCGATACTACTTGAAGAGTGAAATCCCGCATTTTGAGAATCATACATTCTTGCTGCAAAAACGAACCTATTTGAAACCACACCAGAAATTAATCGTGCTGACACAAGCGCAACTCATTCACACATTGCCTTTTGGACTGAAGACAGCGATCAGACGACGACAAGGAGTAAAACCCAGAACCAAGAGCCAGAGTCAGAAATCGGGCGACCCAAAGCTACAATTGAAGCAGCAGTACATCAGGTGGCAAAGAGCATCCGGCCGAGGATTTTGAAAGCGATATGGCAACACGCCCGTACAATAATTTGTACGCAGCCACGTCGCAGAGCGTGTAGGCCATATTTGCTATTGATGGCTGTGTGCCGGAGACGATTGTCACAGACAGTCAATGATATTGAGGCCCTTAGACTCTGTGCATACCTCATTGTACTTGTGCTGGTGCTGCGCTTAGCACCACGTGCGTCCTGCATTGTGAGACATGAATTGTGGGTGCTGAAAGGACAAGTGCTGAGGCAGATGAGTATGAGACCTCTGTGTCTGCTGATGGGAGCTTTCAAGAGGCTCGGAATGTCCAAAAGCCTCTCAGCTGCACGCAGGCAGGCAGCATGTTTTCCGACTGCTAGTGCTTACTACTGCAAACAGTCGAGTACCGAACAACAACTGGACGTGGGCAAGAAAGAAAGAGCAAAGATTGGCCACCCAGGCGGCACCGCCACATGCGGCGGGATGCTGGCTATCAGCGTAGACCAACTCAGGCGGAGTTGGAATGACAAGGGAGACTTCGCTGCGGAATAAATTGCTCAGGACTCGGAGACACATGCGGCTTCGCTTTCGCAGGCCAACGTTTTCTTTGCCGAGAGCTTTGTTGGTATGGGAGGGCTTCTGGTGGCCATACCGCAGGTTCACAGCCTAGCAGAAGGCCCTCAGATCGACAGATTTGGGGGACCACAGGCAAGTGGTGCTGTCATTGCACTAAAGACAATCTTCAACACATGAGATGGCAGGACAACGAGCATGTTGAAGTCGCAAAAGCGACTGACAACGCCAACAAGAAGAGTTTGCAAAAACCAGTCAGGTCCTGAGGGGACACTTCAAGACGGGCAGCGGGAGACAGCTGAGTCGTGCTGGAAGGTGTGGCAATCGGTGAATCAAATCGCCTTGTTCCTCACCCCCACACCCACACCCCCCCACCCCCACCACCCCTACCCCCACCCCCAACCCCCACCCCCAACCCCCACCCCCACCACCCCCACCCCCAACCCCCACCCCCACCACCCCCACCCCCACCCCCACCCCCACCCCCACGCCCACGCCCACGCCCACGCTCACGCCCACGCCCACGCCCACGCCCACGCCCACGCCCACGCCCACGCGCTTCAGCGTCAACAAATGCCATATTGCCATGACATGAGTCCTTCATTTTTGCTTTTTGATCCGGCGTCCATGAGACTTTAGCTACTCTTTTGGCCATCCAAGGTATGGAGCGAATGGGCCTGTGCGCTGATGTGCGCCAGCAGAGCCTCGCAAGGCTGCTGCGCCTACCAAGGTGCCATCTTTCCGAAACTTACCGCATTGCCATGCGATGGACGGACTGTGCACCAGAATTCACTTTACCTCATTTTATAGCCTGGATGAGACAAGACGTTAGCTATGCAGTCATTTGCACCTTCCCAAGTTGGATGGCTCGGAGGTGACTCTGGCACTTGCCAGTTTATTCCTGGCACGCCATCTAGAGACTCAGCTGCCCAAGGCGGGGTGGGGATCATGCTGCACTGATCACCGGAGAATTCTGGCATTCTCTCTCTCTCTCTTTCTCTCTCTCTGTGTCTCTTGCTTGAGCCTGTACTGCCGCCGACAAACTTTTGAGCTCTGCAAATCCTTGTGAGGATGGACGCAAGCCCAGTGCGTGCCTGGATACGGCACCGCAAAGTGTAAGAAGCTTAAACCGGCAGAGGAACATCCTGAACCTTCGGCCTTGGTCAGCCTTGGTCACAGGCGCACTCAGTTCAGATGGCTCGTTTCAGACTCCCAGGTGCACCTTGGTCCGCTGGAAAGTGCATAGGCTCAGAGCCGGCACCTGCAAGAGCCTCAAATTCGCCTTCGAAGAGCTGTCCAGCTTCTGCCCTGGCTTGATTTGTTGCCAAGGCAGCCGAGGGTCTGCCCATTTGGGAGCTAGTGTGGGAGGAGAGCCGTCTCGTGGCATTTTTACTTCCTGACCCGAGTCACCAGGACCACTTCGACTCAGAGACCTGCATTCCTGATAGCCACGGAGTGCTGCGACCAAGCCCGGAGAATTGGAGCGGCTCGGTACAATGGTGAACGGCATATGGCACTTGGGATTCCGATTCATGTGTCTGCCCTCACGAATAGCAGGCCCCGAGATTGGCTACAAGCGCGGGAAGGACGGCAATTGGCATGATGTGCAAAATCAGCGCAGCAGCCATGCTGCTGGAAACATGACGATTCCACTCGTGAGGCACTGTGTGCCATTTGCACTCATCATGCTTTCATTCGCGTAAGGAGCTGCAGTGGTACCAGCCGCAGAATGCGGAATGCAGCTTGTCTTAGCGCTCGTTTTGGCCGAACAGCTTACTTCTTGGCGATCTGTTTGGCCTGTGTGAAAGTACGCTTATTTCACTGGGCCTTTTTGGCTTGCATGACATTAGTCTTGTGTCTTTTTTGTGCGAGGCAAAGATGGCGAGTTGGTCATCACTGCCAAAAGGGAACGACAGTCCTGGGAGAAGCCTGAGGCCGAAGCACCGAGTTGCATAGCCAAGACATGCACTCTTATGCAGTCTCAGACTGCAGTAGCACATCATTCCTGGTGCAGGGCTCGCAGTGCCGAGTCGTGAACTGGGACAACAGAGAACAGCCTTTGGACAACCAGACATGCGGCTTGGCGAACGTGACTATTGTGCCAGGAGCCATGCAGCTGGAATAACGTGTAAAATACAAACACAAGCCATGGTTTTGACACTAGAAGAGGGTAACATGGTGGGGCACAGACACGGAGCAGCTTTTCATCCATGCCTGTTTTCTCACCTGCGTGCTTAGGTGCAGTGTGTGCGCCACCGTACTTTCAGTACTACAACCCGTGTGACCTGTTGCGGATTCCAGTCTGCAATGCATCAGTTCTTCGGCCTGCTGCACTCGTCAAGACTGTGACTCCTCAGGAAGGATGAGACTGGCGCTCCTGCTTGCGATTGCTCTCACACGGCAGAATTTACTTCTGCTTCTTTGATGACACGTGGCAAGAAGGACACGTGCCTCGCGGCCTCGTGCATGCCTTGCTTCGCGAATGCCTTGGTGGAGCCATGCAGCTCACACCTGAAGCCTTGCGGCACAGGAGTTCTCCTATGGCTTGTTTGAGCTACGCGCCAAGATCGACACGAGACCAGGCGGGACGTTTGCATTTTTTCCATTCTTATTTTTCTGGATGTCTGCTTCAGGAGCCTGGTCGAGCTGGTGGGCCATTGGTGCCCTGGCGGAAGCGGACATTGACTGTATTGGTGGCACATGGGTTGTGCAGGCAGGCGCCTGCGTATATCCAGAGAGCAACCACAGTGTGCAAGACTGCGTTTTGGGTGCAGCACTCGTGCAAGCTGAGGAAATTTCGATTATGTACCATGGCCAAAGAACGGCGAAATCGACATCATGGATGCCTTTCAACGCATGGTCAAAGCTAGCGACGCTTGACAGAACCACTCCAATCGTGCACCCACACAGCGTTCTATGTTTCTGCACCTGATGCTGATAATTTCCGAAAGACCACTCGAGCTAGTTTTTTTGCTTTTATATTGTTTGGTTTGTCCGTGGCCTGAGGTTATCCATGCGGGCGAGAGTGGACTTCCCAGCAGTGCCATTCAGCATGCAGGCGGATGGACTTTGCTTTGCGGGTCTGGGGTCATTTTTAGGCGCTGAAGGGCGTGGGCATAAGGCCAAGCAAGCAGCCTGAGATCAGCACTGGATCTAATTGAATCTCCTTCCTTGAGTGTAATTTCAGCGAGAATCTATCTTTTCGCCACTTGAATGTTCGCGTTGGCTTGGTCCTCTCAGGGTTTCACACAAAGAGTTGGCAGGTGCCAGAATGGTTGACAGGGAGTGGGAGAAGTGCCCAGTTTTTCCTTCTTTGCCAACGGCATGACATCATGACAGTTTGCCACTGCGGCGGGAGCCTAATGACTCACCAGGTACTACCACACCTGGCAGCTAGAATGGGACAAAGACTTCATGGAGATCCGAGTTGATGGTGAAGCCATTCTCAAGGCGGAGATTGGGAATCGTTTTTTTGACGCACCGTGTCAGATGCTCTTTACCTGTAGCGTACACTTGAGCTGTTGTTTTCATGGCCGAAGCTGGACTGTTCTTTTCATCCCACGATGTAGTATTGTGCATCGGCAGTTCAGCTCTTTCATGTAGCACTATAGCTCTGGAATATGCAGCTGGACAGTTGTACTGTTGTGGGATTTGGCTGCCAAGGGATTGCATCAAAGTACGTTTACTTGCAGCTGCAAAGCTTGTGCTGCTTGCATAGCATTGTGTTTGACCGCAAGCAGTTTGCCTGCATTCTCATGACTGAACATATCCAGATTTCGAGTCGTCCTTTTCTGTTCATCATCCTCTTGGCTGAGGCCCTTCTTCCCTTTCTTCCTTTCCTCCTTTCTTTTGTTGTTCCTTTTTCACTGTATTCTTCATTTCTACTTTGCTTGCCTTCTACCTTGCTTTTCTTCCCCCTGTATGTTTCTTTCATGCAAACGGAATTGTGCGGACACGAACACCACCTCACTTTCGTTTGCTACCACCATGAAAGCTGAAGGCATTCCAGCGGCGGAGGTTTAGATGCGTGCCAGTTGAGGGACATGTGCAATGTCCAGGTTGACCTTTCTGTGGCTGATCCTCAGAGAACTTCCTGGCCGAACCCATTCACACAGGGAAAGCCGCTTCCTGAGATTCATATTGCCACTTTGCAGTGCGAAGCGCGTCATGCCACGCTATTCTATGCTCCACAAGCAGTTTTATTTGTTCGACCGAACCAGTCCAGTCCTTGCCCCTAGCGGTTTGAGCCTGAGGAAGTTCTTCATGATACTGAACCTTGCAGTTGGAGGTCACTCCGGAGGCTCGGGTCTGAGCATCCGGCTGGGAATGGCAACATGCCATGGACAACGCAGGAGATCCTGCCTTGACCCAGTTTCCCAGCCAATTTCACGTGGACTACATCCGCTCGCGGCTCAGTATTGGGCTGCATAATTTGGCCTGCTTGAATCCACGTATGTTGTCAGGTGTATTTCAGAAAAAGGGCAGCACAGAGCGATGAGGAGCTTCAGTAAGGTTTACGCTTCACAATGTGAAAGCTGCCAGAAAAGAACGCAGTCGGATTGCAATGCTGCCGCCAAAAGATGATTAGAACGCAGACTGCTGCGTGTTGCTGGTTGCTAGTTTTGACGCGCTGATCAGCAACATCGTTCACCTTGGCTCTCGTTCAGGTACTCGCATGTACAGCATGTTGCCAGTCCCAAGAGCCACAGACAATCGCCATGCCATGCTGAAGTTGGTGACATTGAGTTGGCTCTTGCACACTTGACACGTCCATAGCGCTTGAATGTGCAATGGCAATGGCGGGTGGCATGCAAAGTGCTGCACTGAGCCGAAAGGGCTCGCATCGCAGCTGCTTTCTATTCTATCACGTCTGCTAGGTCTAGGTGCTGCAACGGCAGATGGCCCTCCAAGTGGCTATGAGCCTCTCTCGCAGGCCGGATTGCACGTGCTCGAAGGGAAAGTTAGGCTTGGAATTTGCTTGGCTAGGGGCCAATGGGCATGGGCGGGACTGGCGGTGGCGGTGGCGGTGGCGGTGGCGGCTCCATGGCATCTTGGTTGCTGAGGGAGTTGATCCTTTGAGGCAGAATCTTTTGGGAACAAACACAGTTTTAAAACAGGAGGCTTCGCATCTTGATCTAAGGCCGCAGTTTCTCAGCTTTTTACCAGACTAGCGCAGGAGATAGAGGCAATGCGCAGTTCTTGTCTAGACTTCTTCGCCTTCTGGAGCCGCTGGCTCCTTTGCATTTGTTACCAGGAACAAAAGCCAAAGAATTGCATCCATTTCGTCGTCGACTTCCTGTGCAAGCACCGCAGCTGTACGGTGTGCGAGATGTGTCAGATCTGTTTTCTGACGGCTTCCAGAGTTTCAATTTGGCTGAGCAGCTGCATTTCTCTGACCCGGCTTGTCCGGTAAGGCACTATCCAGAGCATTTGCATGGCTTTGCCTCCATTTGGCAGGTGGGCACTGGTATGGTTAGGGGTGATATCCCGTCATTCATTTCTTTGTGTCTTGTAGCTATGTGTAGCTGCTAGCACTGCTGGCACTGCTGGCACTGCTGGCACTGCTGGCACTGCTGGCACTGCTAGCACTGCCGGCCATGTCATTGCGACTCTCGGGCTCCATGCCAGATGGACCCCGACCTCGAGCGAGAGCGGCATGAGGTGCCCGCCAGCTTGAGAGCTTTGCCCTGCGAGTTGTTTGTGTGTGCGAGTGACTGGCAATACGAGCAATATGGGCAATACGGGCAATGCATCAGGTTGTGAACTTCTTCAAGGCTCACAAGATCTCAACGGCTGTGGCAGCCCACTTCACCAACGCAGGGTCCCACGCTTGGTCATTGCCTTCTTGATGCCTCATTTGCCTCACGTGCCTCATTCGGCTTCTGCAGGTATGACACATTGGACACCTTGACCACATTGTCGCCTGATAGCCTAGTGGACGTGGAGGCCCACAAAGATCCGCGCTAGCAAAGCATTGCCACTCAACAGGTGATGAGTCATCACCAGGTGTGAAAGTCCACCGATGTTTCCGTGGTCCATTGAAAGTCCACCAATGTTTTCTGCCATTTCTAGCCAGGCTTTCAACAATGTCAAATGGCTGCCTGGGCACAAGGCAGGAGAGATGGTCAGTCGCGGGATTGGCACGTGGAGTTACACAAGGTGCGACTTCAGCAGATCTTCAGCGAGATTTCTGCGAGAGTTCGTGCGCACAATGCTTAGATCTGTGGGATCATCCTGTAAGAGCTGGACGAGTATCAATGTTGAGTCTTTTGCTGAGGTATCGGCAGCAATATGGTGAGAGTGCGCATCCACGCTTGGTTCTCAATTGCTCAGACTTGAAGAACAAATTTCGTGATATGCATCCTTTGCTTGAAAGCGGAATGGGGAAATTGAGATTGAGATCTATTCGGCAGTTCGCACCGTAAAATCGGTTTCTGAGGGAAACTCTTCTGAGGCAGACATCATCAAGCTCAAAGCCAGCACAACCGGAATCACTCGAACTCGGTGCCAGCCGCAGTTGTTTTCGAGCTTTTCCTTTCTACAGCTTGGAGAACTTGCAGCAATCCAAATCAAGGTAGACAGAAGGCATGACTCGCCTCCTCCAAATTATCATCGCCCCACGTATTCGCAACCTGCCTCTTGATTGCAGTGGTGCTTTGTCAATCAAGACATTGGCAGTACTGCCACCTGTTTGTCAGGAGTCCTACTCGGCACACCCACATCAGTCCGTAGCACACCATGGTCATGACTCACCGCCACAACGCCATCACGCCCGTGCCTTGAGTTTGACACTGTTTTCTATGCTCACATCACTGCAGGTTGGCCTAGCTCATCATCCGCAAGTACTCCTTGCTCGCTTGTTTTTGATGTGCCGTCACTTTCTTGCAGGTTCTCCAATGATGATCACAAGCGAGTCTAGGTTTACACAACACGCGACGCCAGGCTGGCCATGTATCGCCGGTGGTGCACCCACATGTTTCTTATGCGCCTGCGCATCATCAGGCAGTTTGATAGATTTGCTTGAGATGTCTTGAAATGCTCGGCAGCGGGCTAGTTGAAGCCTCGGTGCAGAGCTGGCCTCGCCGCTAGGCGACCTCCGAGCGCCATGTAGCATTTACTGGTGGCTTCAGTGGAGGCTATGTTGGCGGTGCAGGCCCAAGGAACTAAACGGCCTTTGGTGTTTCTTGAATGCAAGCAAACCTGGGAAGCGACACATAGAGACCAAGGATTTGCTCCTCCACAGACAGCAGCGCCCCACGTGCCAACTCCGCACGCAGGCAATGTGTCTCTAGAGAGTGTCAATGCGCTGACATGTGCCAGAATCTGCCGGCTTGACAAGCTTGATCGACGGGGAGCAACGCGGTTTTGGCTTGATTTGTTTCGTGCGAGCTGCGCCAGGGCCAGGTGCTCAAGGTATGAGCATATCTCCCGGGCTTCCCAACCCGCATGTGGCCTAGAGCCAGCACGGGATGCGTTCGTGAAGGGCATGCATTCCAGATGTTTCATGACTCCTAGGTCTGGGAACATCTTCTTGGCCAACAATTCTCTCCTTCCTCCGACTTAAAGTTCCGTGCCCTCGCCATAGCCAAAGTCAGAAGGGCCCCAGGTTTTCATCAATCGCGGGGGGTGTTCTTTGCTGATGAAAGTGGTGAGACGCACTGCACGACACAATTTCGACGGTTGCAGCTCTTGCAAGACCTGAAGAGATGATACCTGGTTGATCTATGACAGCAGAAATCACATTGTTTGTATGTGTATCTATGAAATATCGAGATAGAAGGTAGACTCGGGAAAGGAAAGGAAATGAATGATCCTTTGCCAGATGCACCTAATTCGTGGCTGCCAGTGTTGTTCAGTCAGCACTGCGCAATGCTGCATGCACCAACTAATGGTGAAGCGCAAAGCAATCGGCTCGTTCCTGGGAAGCGACCATTTCACTTGCCATTTTCGGCATGAGCAGAACTGTGCACTTGCACTTCGATTTGCCTGCAGCCGTTCGGCCCGGTCCCGTAGACCGCGAGCTGCCTCCGTGTTCACCCACATTACCTTCCGTGCGCCACAGAGATGCGACGTTTGATAAGTGCGCTCCCCCTGACCAAGAGTTCTGCACAACTAAGGTGTCACCGCGTGAGGCTCGGAGACTTGAACTTTTTGCACAGAGAAGTATGTTTGGCTCGCGAGGAGCTCGCTTGGTTTTGCAACAGCTTCTGCTTCTCTAGATAGAATGGGCAACTTGAGACAACTCAAGCACACTATTGCTTGGCTGAATTGGAGGGAGGGCCAGCGTGTGAGGCAAATGCCCCTGTAGCCAGGCGGCTGGGTCCGGCCTGGCGGCGTGTCACCTCGGGGCGCGGCTCTGCGACTTCAGCGCTTGTATCAACGTGTCACAAATCTGCAAATCGCCACATATCGCCACCTTCTCGCCTCTTGCATCGCTTTGTTTTGGCACTGGCCATGTCACGCTGTGTTTGCAGGCAGACGAGCCTATACGATGGCAGACAATTATGGTAAAGGCTTGCCTGAACGCAAGACTTTTCTTGTGGTGGCATGTTCAGACGATCATATGCTTGCAAGATCAATCACGCAGACTTCCTAGCACTGTGCCGTTTCCAGTTTCTTACTTTAGATCGTTTGCTATAGCAGCTCTTGTTTCAGCTTCGGAGTCATGTTGCCCCAAGTGACCAACCAATTTGTGGCAGGAAAGAACCGTCGGAAGGGCGGCAAGAAAGGGGAGGCTCGGGAGGCCATGAGAGCGAGAGCATTCGCACAGAGTGTTCAAAGCATTTCATTGCACGTGTGTGTGTGTGTCCTGTGGTGAGCAACTTCATTGCCAGGATTATGATGCTTATGGCAAGGGCTATGGCTGGGATGCCTGTTCGTGTTGATTGGGATGATGCTTTGAGCATCGAAGTGCTTTGAACAATCGAGGTGCAAACAATTCGTCAATGGGTGGCGGAGCAGGAGCACGGCACTTTCTTAGCCATGACGTTCCAAACCAGCTGCCTTCTCAATTTCTCTCTGAAAGCCTTTATGTGTATTGTTCAGGAGGCAAGGCATCGAAGGACGTTGTCGCCGGCTTAGCACCTCAAGGTCGAAGAGCCGAGCTCTGCAAAGTTTTGCAGCGCCTTCGATAGACAGCTGTCAACTTCGGGTTGCGGCAGGGAACTGGCCTCCAGTGACTGGGGTACGTGCGCAAGATGCGCAAGCCTCCAGTGAGATGCGGGTTTGGTCAGGTCCACCATTACCCGCCCAAAGAGATGGCTGCAGACGTCGGTGCATGCCCACGCTTGTCGGCGAATGAGAGCATTGCTTTGTAGCCGCTTGAGAGTTGCACAGGTTCTTTTCATTGCACAAGGAGCCGTGTGGCAGGTTATCCAGTTCGGGGTGGACAGACACTCTTGATTGCTAGCCTGGCCTGCTTGTGGCCATGCATTTGCTTCATGGCCGGGTTCCTGTTCATTTGACACTGGCAGAACTAGAAAAACTGCGCTGGCATGTGATCAAAGGAAGGAATGCGCCAGGCATACTTTCCATGGGAGGCATCTGAGGCAGTGGGGGAGAGACTTGTGCTGCCTTCATTGAACGGCTCACCCCGCAGACGCATGCAAGCAAGTTGCTTGCAATGAATGTTGCATTGCTCAACTCTCTCAGTTGAGTGCACGTGAAAGTGCAAAGCAGCAGATGGCAAGCCAACGTATTATCTTGATGACGAGTGTCATGGATAAATAGTCTGAATGCAGCCTTTCACTTGGACTGATGCGTTCCATATCCTCTTGCTGTAGGCTTGCAGTCTGGGCAATCCCAAAGAATACTGCTCGCGAAGCACGGGCAACGTGGAAGCTGGTAGTGTCAGAAATGGTTGGTAGTTGCGGCAGGCAGACATCGAGAGGGAGTTCTCCAAGTTTTGCCGTGTGAAGCGCGTCCACTTAGTAGCTTCAGCCTTAGCAGTCGTCGAGACTTATGTGAGTTAGTTTTCTGAATTGTCGTCATTTACTTTGTGCAGGAGCGTTTTATGCACGTGTTGTTTTTATACGGGACATCCAGAAAAGGAGAACAACAAAAAAAACGATACCCCAAAACCTGAAACGACAACTATACGGCACGTCCTAACATCGGAATGAATATACCCCAGACAATTAGTTTTGATGCGGGCTCACGTGCAACACTTCAAGCTTATACAGTTTTGGAGATTTCATGCTTCGCTTTGCTTGACATACTTGGATAGTGTTGTTTCATGCCTGCCCGTGTGATTGGGGCAGGTCGCGTTCTAGATTTTGACACCTGCAACGGCTGTCAAAGGTGGACAAGTCATCCAGGAAGCCGCGCTGCTTCGGCTTTGTCAAGTTTCTGAGCAAGGCAGGCCAGCGACTGTTTTAACTTGGCATTTGTCTGACAGTTGCTGCTCGGGGTTCGTTCAGTCTCCTCTTGGACGGACTGCTAGGCAGATGCTGAGGAAGCACTGCGGGCGACGACGCAAGGTTTGCTGGGCTTGATGGTAGTCATCTTGAAACAGAAAGGTTTCAGCCGCATTAAGCTGTCCAATTGCTCAAATCCTCAGAGTCAGACGTTCGTACACCTTGAATGGGAGCAGCAATGCACACATCACACAACAGTGCTGTTCAACTGTGCTTGCTCTGTTCAATATCATCTCAGCAATGCTATACCCGGGCAGCCCTGGAGGTCTAGTGCAGTTACCGGACACCCGTGGTCATGTGTGGCACCTCAAGGCGAGGAAGCACAGCATTGGCCATCTCTGTCATTGAAATCTTGGGTCACTTTCAATCCTCATTTTACCACACTTGGCTTTCCTGCTAGCTACTGATGTTTGATCTGAGGCCGAGTGGACGAAGTCGGGCGACATGGTTGTGGACGATTCCGAAGCAGAGCAGGAGGCAGAAGTATGACTGGCTTCAAGTCTTAGTTCATCAACTGCGTGTTGAATCTTGTTCCCTGCTTGTGCAGGACACAACCATCAATATTCAGGGCAGGATACACTTTCTCTGGAATTGGCAGGTTGCCAAGCGGAAGGAGGAGAGGCGTAGCCGCACTGACACCACAACGGCCCCTGGCACAGCTACGCGTGAGCTGCTGAGTCTGGGCAGCCAGTCTGGGCTGCACTTCTTTACATTGCCCATGACACTTTCAATGCACAGCACGTGCTGATTGCCTAACTCAGGCAGCAATTCTGGCAAAGGAAGCGCACCTCCTCCAAAGGCAGCAGCAACAGACGCCTTAACACGGTTCGAAATGATTGCTTGCAGATGGATGTCAGTCTCACACAAACATCAAGCACAGCATAGCCTTGGTATGGACGTGCCAGGGAGCGCTCCATCCAGGAGTTCCTGCCCCGCTACCTCCTCTACAGACACGCTGTCCTCCGCAGGCCAGCTGAAGGTTTGTTGGCGCTTCGAGAGGAAGTCGATCTGAGCAAGGCCGCCATCGGCATGCCACCGCCTCCGCCAGCGGCACTGCAGCGTGGGGCACAGCCGGGCACATCTAGTAAGATTTTCCGTACAGATTCACAGTTTCTCGTTCATGAGTTTGTTTCATTGGGTTGCTTCCATTGCGGCAAGGCCTCTTCACTGATTGCTCTTTGCTGCCGTCGGTGCATTCTTGCTATCCGTCGTTTCGTGACACCGTCCTCTGCAGCTACCTTGAGCCGGCATGAACAATCTGATGAACAGAAGCCGATAGGCGATTCCGAATTCACTATGTTTGCACAAACTATTTAGATAGCCAGCAACAAAATATTATGCCAGAAAGCTCCTATGTGTCAAAACGCGTGCTTAGTTACAGGTTGTCCGTGACGCCTCGCCATGCAGATCCGTCTGCCCGTGATTCGGCCAGAGCACCATGAGATTGATACGCCCCGCCGTGGCCTTGCGGAGTCAGAGCCTTCAGAGCCCGTGCCAAAGATGGTGAGGAGGCCGGAGAATCACCGCATCGCCACACCGCGACCCTCCATCGAATCGGGGAACAGCCCCAGGAGGGAAAACAGTAGCTTCCGCTTTCTGCGGCCCGAGAACCTGCCCACGCAGACGCCCCGTACTTCAGATGCATCCAGGGCACGCCGTCTCTCGTTGGCCTCGTGGCGAGGGTGGCAGGAGGAAGGAAAATGCACGAAACAGAGGAAGGTCTGCGCCTTGCTGGTTGTCTTGCTTGTCGTAGCCATCGCAGTGTTCCTCATCCTGATGACTCGTCAGGCGGGGAAGACATGTGCCAGTACCAAACAGCTTGCGGATCTTTGCCCGCTGTCCAGGACGATTCGGGAGCTCTGCCCGTTGGTGACTGCTCTGCTGTACAGATAGAGCGCGGCTGTGCCCCTGGCTTTTGCAGTGATGGACGATGCCGTTGCACTCCCAATTATGCTTCTTGGCTGACAATTATGATTGTTCGCAGCGCTGACAAGCATAGCTCAATGGCTGAGAGTCAGATCGAAAGGGGCGTGTAGCTGGTTTCGGCCAAGCATCAAGCTTTGCGCATGTATGACTTGAGGAGCAGCTGGATGCCTCTCGCTGTGCAAAGCCATTGGCCAACAGCCGGATGAACTTCTTTGTTTACCAGGTCCTCGCAGACAATGAAAGCGCTTGCGTTGCCCCAGAGGCTCATAGCCTTCAGGGGGTGGTGTGGCACCTGCACAACGAGGTGGTGACCCAGTCCTGCCCCCGCAGGATGCATCGAAGCCGCGTGGTGCGATGTAGGGCTGCTGTTTTTAACACGGAGCAGCCATTCCTGGAGTGGAAGGGCCAGTTCGGGCCGTACACCAACTTCAACGAAGGCCTGGGTGGCATGTGTGCGCCACTGCTTCTTGCCGCAGAATTGCCTGGAAGGCAAATGTGTCAGCCCTGGCTGTGAGGATGTCTGGAGGACCTCAGGGGTCTCGTCAGCTTTGGTTGAGTCTTCTTGCTAGCTCCATGGTTTGATGTGCTTGAATTGGAATCGCTTCCAATTACTCTGACGTGCATGATAGAATGTGAGCTGAAACCCGTACGTGCACGTGAGCCATTGAAGTTGTTTCGGAAGGCATTGTGTTGTGAAGTTTAGCTTGCCTTCCTTTATCTTGCAGGAACTTTGGCTTTGTGGTTGGCTGCCTGCCCTGGGCCGCTTACATGGGCGGAGCTGACTACGGCAATAGATCCCACGTTTACTCCTTCCCACACCAGGCAGGGCTGATATCACTGGGCCGCGAAGTTTGTCAATGCGCGATTTCCAGGGGGGAGCATTGCCAATGCGTTGTCAAGTGATGCGTCAACGGGTGAACCGGTGAAACTGTTGAAACACACTGACCGTGCCAGGGTCGCTGCGCAGCTCCCAACGGTACGGCGAACTGCACGTGGAACTTGCAAGCAGCAGGAGAGGTTCGCTCCTTGCCTCACGTCAGTCTTCCATTTTTCTATTTGTCACTAGATTATGACTTTCCGGGATCGAGTTGTTGGATGCTTAGGCAGGACAACACATTTTTCTGGTTCAGCGTTTTGGGAAGTGCGAAGGTTTGGACGACCTCGAGAACATCTCAGATTACAGGACCGTTTTACATGCCGCTTTGCAAAGGGTCCAAAGCATTCTGATGCATGCTTAGAGTCTTGCTTGTTGTAGCTTCATTGTCATAGTGCAGTCCAAGCCGAGTTGTGTTTGCATGCAATTGTCTGCATGCCGCCGCGAAGATTGAAGGCAGGCTTTCACCAAACCTTCAAGAAGGAACATTCATAGTTGTTAAGGCTCAGATTTAGATGTCAACGTCAAGTTCCTTGCTGTGAGAGGTAGTTGCTCTGTTTTCTGGTCATGCTGGTCATTTCCCAAGTTCATTCCATGTTTTGAAGTTTCGCATGTGCTTGCGATTCCGATTTGTCCACAAATCTGTGGTCCATGTTTGCAGGAGCTTTTGCAAGTC